ATATGTATACGAGTATTGTTCCTCTGTCTGACTATAAGTTATATTTATTAGTTAGTATTTGGTATATCTTAATAAAATTATGAACCAATATTTCGTTTAAAAGCCAGTCTCGAATTTTCAAGTACTCGGGTTTTTTGGGTTAATGTATACTTACGGATATAAAAAACAGTATTCAATTGGTAAAATAGTGGTCCAAAAAGTTGCCTGCAAGTGTTCGCTACAGTGTTTAAACGTTCGTGTCAGTCAGTAGCCTTCATTATTAGCAAAATCTTTATATAAAATATATTTTATCTACTCAAATATATTATATAATACTAGTATGTTCAGCAAAGCTCGATAGAGAAGAACTTAATTCCTTACTTCTCGAATAAATTGCCAAAGTTTAGCCTTAAGGACTTCAGACTAGTCTAATATTATTTCATATGCATAATGGGTACAGAAATTGATGAATTTAGCTCATACTTTTTTCTAACTCCAATATACTAAAGTTACGATTTGTTATTAGTTCGTTTGACATTAAGTTAGATATTTCAGATAGTAAGAAATATAACTTAATGAAACTGCGTAGGTAATTTCGTAGTACAGTGTCAACCCAGCACCCAAATCGGTTGACTGTTTCGTTCAAAAAGTAAAGTGGCATTAAATAAATTAAATAAATGCTACAATATCATTTTATCACCTGTTTGGTAGCTCTTGAACTAACCACTATCTTACTTTTTCAGATGTTCCTATAAGCTAATAAAATATTGAAATAATATCTAAATCTTGATTTATCCATTTGTTTATTTAAAAAAATATATATATAAGTAGTTATAATAATAACACAATTAATTGCATCACTAAATTGTTTTCAAATACATTATCAATTAAATACCAAGTTACTGCTTTTATTATTAATAGACCAGACAGTGAATCAAAAGAATTAGTACTTTCCGAAATACTATTTACAAGTTAATTATTTGTGCAGGTATTTCCAATATGCTACGTTATAAACAAGTTGTTGGGATCTAATAAGTAATGCCATTTCATGTTAGAGAAAATATTTATTTTGTGCTTAAACAGTTATCTCATTGCATTTGCCGCTATTGTTGTGTGATACACGTGTGATTATTACAGCTTTACTGAAACTTTGTTGATATGATTATAGCGGGTCGGTCGTTTCACTTTCGGTGATACATCAAACGTTATCACTGGTCTCTGCCACTGCAACTTCGCATTCAAAATATGTTTTGACAAATTCATAACGAATTGGTATTAAAAACCAATTTTTCATAATATTCTATAAAATTCCAACGACGTAATTAATTTTCAAATTGTTTTTTTGACATTTTTTTGCAGTAAATACAGAAGTACGTGTGTTTGTATGTATATCTTTCGAACGAAAATCGCATTATTTATTATGAAAAAATGCATTTAATTGTTCCGCCTCAACTCGACGTTCGTCCATGCTCAAAACTTGAATCGCATGCAAGATAACTCGGAAAGTTCTCAACCGATTCTTATGAAAATTGGCACAAATTTTTTTTGTAGTGTTAGCTTCTAGTTATACCACCACAATGCCACAAAAAGTTTCAAAAATTACCCTTTTTGACCCGAAAAATGTCGGGAAAAGGGTCAAAATTTCGACTTTTGTGTCTGAGGCGTGTCAGTTTTTGATTTTTTGACTTTTTTTTTTGTTGGTATAACTTGAAGATACATGTTTCATGCACAAGCTCCAATCTTTTATTTTATCCCGCCAATGGATGCCTTTTGCCGCGAGAGCCTTAAGGGAACGATTGCTACGGCGGGCATTTTGAAAAAAAAAATTTTTTAAATACGATTTTCATATTCTACTTGTAATATGTACTTAATAAACATGCTGAGTTTCATTATCATTCATTTATTTTTTCCATTTCAAATAAGCCTCCCAAAATTGGCCTAAATTCAGGGCGATACATGTAGCCCATGAAACGCCGGTATTCGGTATACGCTTCTTGTTGACCCAAAAGAAAATTTACTATTTTATACATATAGTCACCACAAACAGCACAAAACTATTCGAATCATTTAAACAAGTTCTTCTTAATGTAGAATAACAGTTTATTTATGAAATTTAGTAATTTTTTGCCCTAAAATTAATTCAAGTAAGCCGATTAACGATATTTCAAGAAGTACCTGTATCACTATATATAGAGCTTATTGGATGAAACTGAAGATAGATTCAAAAACAGCGCGTCAAATTAATATGAAACAGTTACAAATTCCATTAAAAAAGTTTAATCTTGCTTACCAGTGTAATTAGCAGTATAAGTTATTTTCCGATTGGTATATTGATGACGTCCGAAAAAATATATTTATGTTTATTTTTACTCATGTTCACATAAAGTTTTTGTAATGACAATCCCCAATTTTGAATTGGTTGTTTTGCTTAAAAGCTTTAATTTCTGAAGGTCACAATGGGTACATACTCGAACATATATTTTGAGTAAATAGTGTTGGCACTTCTTTTTAACAAAATAGTACATCACATATTGTTTCTGACATTCAGAGTATGGGTAATATGTGGAGGAAGACGGATTCAACTGAAGAGTGCCGTTTTTCAAATATATGAAGAAGACAATGAACTAAAATAAGATCGAATAAAAATAAACGATAGAAGTAAGAAGTTTGAGTGTCTGGTAATGGTTTGCAAGCTCAGCTATTGAAGCACATTGTCATAACCATAACCATAGAAAACGACCGATTCAACCAACGATATGATCTACACACTGTGTGATTAGCGGTAACATCCAAAATGATATTTCTGCAAATATTAACTGTTCTAAGTTAAAGCGAGTTTTAACTCGAAATAGCCAGCGCTTTTATTTTCTCCAATTACACCAACTAGATATCGCACATAAGATTCATCTAACAAGCTTTATGAAAGATTAGGCCCACTGTTGCTGAACCCACTGGACCTTGATGACTCATTCACAACTTCATCTTGACCTCGTTCTTCGCCCCCTTCAATTTAATTTTGGTCCTCAAAGCCGCTATAGACAGCTACATAATCTGTAATTGGTATATCTGAAATCTATCAAGAAACGTATTGCTTGACACTAAGGATGATTTTACATAGTTCGAAATTTTTGCCCCATAAGCTCTTATTCACAGTCTTAACTTGGAAGTTGTTGACAATTTCGTTCTTATTTTGGACCCTTAAGGAATGATACGAAATTGTTCTCTCTTTAAACGAAATTAATTAATAATTCTTTCGTCAGTCCTACCGTAATACATATGTGTTGCAGAAACGTAGTTGAAGATCATAAGTAATAATATCTTTGAGAAAAACAGTAGAGAAGAACTCGGTTTTACTTATAAATAACGAAACAGCAACTAACTCACTTAGGAGATTATAGTCAATAAAAACAAAAATATGAAAATTAGAAGGTATAATGAACCTTGTGTCAAAGTGTTTTTGTTTATATTTTTTTTTAAAGAAGCATCAACTCACTTAAAACAAGAAAAAACGTTAGCTTCGGCAAAAGATCCTTAGAACTTTGATCGGTCAGTGATTCGATCTGAACAATTTCTTCTAAGATAGCACCGTTGTTTAAGACACTAACTGATGCTAAATTTGATGAAGTTATCCCGTTGTGTTCAAATGTACAATAACCTTAACAACTCATTCTCCTTTATAAAACCAATTTCCAATTTTTCTTTGAAATTATCCAAAGCGGTGTCTGATCGCAACTGGATCACCTTAAAATAAAAGTTGACATTGCAAGCCGAGGGTATACTAATATCAAAGAATGTTCTCAACAATTATGTAAATCATGCATCATGGTGCTCCAGAGTATAATAGTTTTGTTCACCTAACAGATATTGTAACACCTAAAACTAATACAGATAGTGTAGAGTTATGTATAAAAAATCAGGATGACGAAACTGTTGAATTTCAATATATCCGTCTATCCATGAAAGCGACAACTTATGTACAAATTAAGATGTCTTGCTGAATCTTAGTGGACGGGATTATTGGCTTCCAAGAGGAGTTGATCTTGCAGATGGGTTATAACGGTCCAATGCCACGAGTACAAAATACAGTTAAGCAAAAACCTATAAAATGCTATAATTAAGCTCCATATTCTAAATATAAAACTGTATAAGTGCTAAGGACAGATTCCACTAGAACTTCCTCAGACCAATTTAACTTAATTTGGTGCCTAATATTCTCTTGATATTCTTATGTTTACTTATGCAATTGGGCGCAATCGGACTACAATCACGCATACCTTATAAAGGAGCTTTTAATTTCATATGATCCTTTCTCTTAGCAGTATATAAATCAAGCACTAATAGCCATAAACTATTGAAATTGGACCACAAATGTTTAAGTCCCCAGATACCGAATATGTGGATCACAGTGGATATGGGTGATTTTTTACTGAAAATATCAGTCAGTCTGTGTGATATATTATTGAAATTCAGATAGTACAATTGATCGTCAATGCTTTCCCTAGCCCCTATATAAATATTTATTATCGAACTTCCATTTGACTCTCTCCAGTATACTTGTATGTCGGCCAATATGTGAGGTATCTTATTGAAATTCTAATATTGAATACATATATATATTATGGTTTAATGCCGGAAACGTATGAAATCGGTTCATGAATTATTCCAGCTTCCACATACCACATACTAGATATTACTATACCATAATGACTTTCGTTACTATATATATATATATTCATAAAATTTTACACCTTATCGAGGATCGTTGAATAATGCGAAAAGCTAATCAATCAAATCAGACGTTGAGCAAATATTTCCAATATAGTGTTTTCTGACTTTGGCAGAGTATAAAATGTTCGGTTACATCCGAACTTATCACTTCTTTACTTTTTTAATTCATCATTTTAAACCCATATAAATAATTAGGCAATGTAATACTATTATACAATCAAAGTTTTTAAGCACAATAGTGAAAATAAAAAGAAAACAAAATAAATTGTTATCAACAAATAGCTACTTGTAATTCTATGTATAAAAGGAATTGCAATGTCGATGACAGTAAAATTTCGTAAGAAACTTGAAACAAACCACTACAAAATGTTCAGCGCAAAATACTTGATCGTTGTAGCCTTACTGGTGTTCTGTCTAGTCTGCCAAGAGGCTGTGGAGGCACATTTCCTCGGCAAAGTTGAACACGATGTGGTGAGTTGGTGTTTTGAAAATAAACCCAGAAACTTAGATTTAATCGTATTTGTTATTATTATTTTATTTGTAGCACAAGGCCGCCGAAAAGGTGGACAAGGTAGCTAAGACTATTGCTAAAGCGAAGGGCGCCATTGCCGCTGGTACTGCTGTGGCTGGAATTATTGCCGGTGCTGCAGCTGTTGCTTAAATAACTGAAGCTGACTATGACTATTTTTCAAAGCTCAATAAATAAAATGTAAAGAATGGAGCAAAAATCTTTTGGTTTTTATACAAATTTCTGCCGACAACATCTCCGTTCTCAATTTACCAGTTCAATCCAGCCTAAACCATGGAGATGAAAGTTTTTGCTCCGTTTCCCCCACACAATATTGTAGAACTGAATGCGACGGTAATGTATCAGTGCTCATAAGTTTCACTAAAGCTAAATAATATTGTTAAGGAGTAGAAGGACATAGAACAGTTTATATATATTGATGAAATCATCGATGTCGATGTTGCTCACTATTTAAATTTTTTTCATTACTCTAAGCCTTCCAGGCCGATACTCGATTTTGAATCTTCGTATTATAATTTGACATATTGGGGAAGTTCGTCAAGTAGCAAGTATCTTTTATCGAGTTAGAGCATACCTAGTCTAGTCCTAGTTCCATAATTACAAGACACAATTTTAAGGCGGCTTGAAATTTGGTGTCGGAGGAAGGATTTCCCATCATACCGACAGTACCCTATAAAAAACTAGTAAAAGTCTCTTATTCCTGGACATGTTATATATTATATTATTATGAATCATATTTTGAACATCATATAAAAGTTTAGGAACGCGTTTTTAACATGAATGTTATAAGAAACTCGTACTCGTACCTTTTTGGGTTCCAAATGCAAAACCACAGAAGTATAAATCGAAAAAAAAACCTTCAATGATCTTTGTTGATACAAATTTTTTTTTATTTATATTTAATATTTATATTGTTTTATCCATTTTAAAACTAAGTACATGTCATTTAAAATTTTCCATATAAGTATTTCATAAAAGTCAAAATTTCTAGGCAGCAGCAGCACCGGCAATGACTCCAGCCACAGCGCTACCAGCAGCAATCACAGCATATAGTTCGAAAGAAACGTCTAAACAAAAAACTTTAAAATGTTCAGTGCTAAATACTTGATCGTTGTAGCCTTGCTGGTGTTCTGTCTCTTCTGCCAAGAGGTTGTGGAGGCACACTTCCGACACGAATTGGTGGGTTAACTTTTGAAAATATACCCAAAATTAATCGATAAAAGGATTTTAATTTTTATTACCCAGCACAAGGCCGCGCACAAAGTCGATAAAGTGGCTCACGCTGTTCATAAGGCCCAGAAAGTGATTGCTGCTGGTAGCGTTGTGGCTGGAGCTATTGCTGATGCCGCTGCTGCCTAAACATAATTTATTACGACTTATATGAAAAATTTAAAAGACATGTGCTTACTTAATATTTAGATAGAATAAAAAAATATTTAACACGCGTCAAATGTTGCTTTTTTTAATGATATTTCCAATAAATCTGACTCTCTGGAATTTAAACTTTTTAAAATTAAATTTAGCTTTCTTATGAATAGCTTTTGAATTTGCCCGTACAAGACACATTTTTTATATACCGTTTTTTTCAGTTAATCCTTAAATGGCTTTCGGAAGAACCCGATTTAATATAATGACTAATTTTCTAGTTAAAAATAAATAGGGCTAAAATATACAGGGACTAAAAAATTGTGACTGTGGGTACAACTGAAGGGAAAATTGATTTAATATTAGGAAATTTTATTACTATATATGTTTTTACAGGTTCTTAGAAAACGGATTCTATCAAAGAAAATGTTGGATATTCCTCAAATTATGATCCAAATTATATATGATGGGTGGTCGGGGCAAGTATATTTCCGATTTTACCTATTTTTGGAAATATATGTATATTGCCATATAAGCATAAGGCATGTATGTATATACTTGCTATGATATTAGGAATGCCGTTATATGTAAAGCAGTAGTTGTGACTATTGCTAGAATTCATTTATGTTTGATTTATAATTACATGTTTCGAAAACTTCCAAAAGGACTGGCATTATAGCATCATCCGTTGAATATTTTTCGTTTCTGTTGCATTTTTTGGCATCATTTGGAAGTTGATATTTCCGATGATATTTTGTAAAAAAAAGCATGGTATAAATCGCACCTTAAATTTTACTAGCGATTTTCACTGAGAAAAGGAAGGTTTATCTACCAATGTAGGTGGTTACTCTCTTTAAAATTTAACTTATGCCTACCTAATTAAAACTTAATACCACCTTTCGTAAAAAATGTTTTTAAATCTGAGTAAAGAACTGTTGAAGAAAATATGACATTTACAGGGTAGTTAAAGTATAAGCATCCGATGTTATTCCATTTAGCTGGTTTTAACGCTTATCGACAACAAGCCAAAACCTTATTTCCCAATTAAGCTCATTCCCCATGCCAGATTTGTTACGTAATTCCTACAGGTCACTTTGAAACTCGAATTTTTTTGTATACTTTATGGCAGTTACTGATTGCGCGCTTAACAGCGACATCTGTTTTTCGTTTCATAAAACATAATATATACGCTTGTACATATGTATTATACTATAAGTATATCTATATACTAGAAAATGTGCGTATATATAGAGTTTAACTTATGTACTTTACTAATCGGCAATTCATTTTGAAAAAAATTGGATTCGCTTTATCAGGGAGGCCTCCTAAGCAAGGTGTTTAGCAGCGACGAAGATTTATTTGTTTTAAATTATCTCAAATCTAGAAACGAAGTCAGAATTTATTATTAATATAGATGAATACAGGTAATTTTGATTTTTGACAAACTGGTGGTGACCGAAGTTTGTTAAAACACTTCCGTGTGGCTTAAAATTCAGATTTATTATCAAAAATCTTATTCCTTCGTTTCTAGCCGATCGGTGCAGCCGATGCTCCCCGACTCTGAAAAGAGCGCATCGAGAAAAACACGTTGGGGACCGATTACACTAAGTTTAAAAATTCTTACTTCAGCGCTGATATCTACGAAAATTTGATTTCTTCGATCAACTTCAAACATTCTCAAATATTCGTACATTCGATATATACAAGTATACAAAACAAAAAATCGATATTTTTCAGTTCACAAGACTATGACCCCTTAACTTGACTCTGAAAACACCCATCGTTTTTATGAAAGTTTTTATTTCAGAAATAAACTCCAAAAGCAGGCGTTATCTGTACAAAAATTCTCTTAATTGAAAATTTATTTCAATAATTTAAACACAATATATATTAACATATTTCCTCGTTATTTAGAACAACAAAATTTCAAAAAAAAGCATATAAATATGTATATATGGATGTATTGTTTATATACATACATACATATAATTTATTAAATACATATGTTATGTATGCATGCATGTGTGTGTGAGTTTGTCACTGATATCCTCGTTTCCACTGATCAGCCGAGAATTAGGTCAAACGTTGTTTCGTGGAAGATAATAGCTAACATAAGCCGAATGTAAAACTAGAACGGAATGAAAATAAAAGTATAAAACATTTTTTTATCTGCTTTCGTTGTGTTTGCGGCGAAACTGTTAACTGCTGCTAATTGCAGGTTCTGGCATTAATCAGCTGCCACTGAAGGTGTGAGAGAGGAAGCCATTCCTATTAAAAAAAAAAACAATTAATAACAGCAATTTGGTCTCTTTATATAAGCAACCCTTTGTACTAACGGCATGCATGTATTTGTATACACATAAATACTTATACGCTAAATGTTTTGAAAGCTAATAATTAAATTTTTTTTTTTTAACTATGACTAACGGCCATATGCAACTTTTGCGTTAAAACGCTTCCGTTTAAACGGAAACCTTTACTTTATATTATCGTTAATTCTTTTTATTTTTATTTTTTAATGATTTATTACTAATTTACATGCTTAAAAATTATTTAGATGTAGTTGAAGCAGCTCAGCACCAAGTACATACATATATAATACATACATACCATATGTGTATGCATATATTAGCCTCCACTCACATTTCCTACTGGGCATCCCCTTGGCAGGCTTTCATACATTCTTGCATGCTCAATAAATTTCATAAGGTTATACAATTGGATAACAACACATATACTTATTTATGCATGTGCAGGCAGTTCCATACAGGAGTGTGTGTGTGTGTGTGCAACAGAAAATGTACAATTAAGCTCAGACCGTGCGGGACTTGAGCAACGTTGTTTTCGGTTTCAACGGCAAACCGGTTCTCATTTAAAGCACTCATGGCAACACATACATATACATAATCGTATGATATGCACATATGTATGTATATACTTGTACTTTCACGTATTCGCATTTATTGATGTGCATGTGGCTTACTTCAAGCTCTCTGTTGTTTTTCCTTTTTCTAAGTTAGTGGTCAAGGTCTAAGGAGCAGACGACATAAAGGAATCGAAGAAACACGGCAGCACATAAACATATCGCTTGCATATACATACATATGTACATTTATAAGTATATGCTTGTAAGTACATATGCATATGTATGTACATACATATATGTAGATGTATGTAGAGTTGCATGCTAAATGACTGTGGGCCGGCTGCGGTGAACCCAGCAGCAATCGCAGCGCATCTAATATTCAATTCAGTAGTGCATAATCAGGCATCAAAGCAAGTTAACGACTTTTAAATATACATTTATAATAGTTTCTACCTTTCGATCCTGATGCAGCCAGTAGTGCCCATGTCTATAAATAGATGGTATGATCTTTTCCAGGGCTTTTTGGCTTTTTCAAGATAAGCAGGACTACGCATCAATCTCATTGATCATATAATTGTGGAATGCGCCATGTCGATAGCTAAACTGATATGTTGATGGCGTTTGTTGGCATTCGGTCTTTCTTTTTTACCTTTAATGATTCGTTTTAAATAGAATATTTGGGAGTTCCTACCGTCATCAAAGATTTTTAATATCTTCTTATACGACTATTTTGGTTAACTTCCTGTGTTTCTGCTTCAACATCACATTTCCCGTTATGCATTTATTTATGTTTTTTAAGGTCGAATTAATTTCATCCGATTGTAACTTTTCGATGTTGGCCTTTCTGTGGCGAGTGTGCTTTATAGCTGAGTGTAGCAGGATTATTTTGGCTGGGAAAAAGTATTATTCAAGTAGATGTTCGATTCCGGGATGCTCATACATATGGAATACCTGTATTAACCTTCCATCTAACACAGCATGATATAATTAGTTTTTACTTTCCATTGGAACCTGGTGCTACAAAAAACGATCTTTAAGCAGTGCTGAAATCCATCCATATTAAAGGGTTAATAAAAGTTACGAACAGTGCAATATCCGACACCACCAAAGAGACCAAAATCAATTGAGTTGAAATCGCCAAGAACAAAAATACCCAGATTAGACTGCAGAAATCTCTTAAACGGAATGTGCTTGCGGGAGTGACTGGCCGACCTTTTCTTCTCTTTTAGGCATTAAAACTTCACGAAAAACTTAAATAAAACTTCTGGTGCCCTTCATTAATCTATCCATCTCACCCTAAAAATTCAAACTATCCAATAATTATCTATTCCTGATCATCGGAAATAAAAATTAAACAATTTAAGCGAACCATTAGGGCAAAATAGACTTGAAGCCGTAGTGCAAGCCTTTATTTATTTTAACCAAATCATTCAAGCTTTCATAGCCAACCTGCAGAACCGTAAACCTGTCTTTAATTCATTTGTGACTTATCCGTATGTCAGTTTGTAAATTGCACGGTTAGTGATGATGTAACCCAGAGCACCTCAACAGTCTGCCTCTTCCCAGCTCCCAGCAAGCAGTCACAATGCCTACAGGCGCTCGTTTGTTCGCGAAGGAAGGGGGAACGCATTTTTATGGCCACTAATAATGTGAATAGTAATTATGTGCAAAAAATGCAAATACTTATATAAATTTGTACATATGTATGTTTGCCAGTGGCCATATATGTAGTTGCATATAAACCAGAAATTCAAATTTATTTTCGCAATAAAAGTGAATAAGCGACGAGGCGCAGGATGCGACCTGACGAACTGGTTTGGTAAGATTCACTTTTTATTTTCAACAGCAAACGAAAAATTTGAAGAAAAAAACATTACTGATAAAGAGATACCGCAAAATATAATAACTATAGTCACACACGCGCACACGAAGAGTCGATGGCGCAGGGTTGATGCGAACGGGCGGAACTGTGGCTTGCGGCTGCACTTGTTTCGGTAGACTGCTGCTGTGAAGGATTGTGGCTGCTGTTTGTTGTTGCTGCCTTTTAATTGTATATTCATCTGCTTTAGGTTCTTTTAGTGCGGCAATGAAGACCGCCTGGCAGACCGAAACAGCGTTGAAGGTTATGTTGAATTCGTTGAACAGGTTACTTTTTGGCTTATTCCCGGTTTTCAGCATATTTTTGCAGCGCTTTTGTTTGTTTTCTCTTGTTTT